CAGCTCTGAGGCGAGGCCCAAGGGCCTGACATCTGCCAAGATGTTGAGGAACACCGTGGGATTGACCGTGGCTGCAGCAAGCTGCATCGGGGGACAGCATCTGCAAAGCCCACCACAGCTCCCACTGAAGCCTCTTATCTGATGCTTAGCTGTGTAAGCTCCCTCCAGTTACATAACCTCTCTTACAGAGGAGTGTGCTGCCCACTTCCCCAAGTCTCCCTCTTTCCAGCAGAGGCCAGTTCGGTGTGGAAGAGGACAGTCCTTGGTGTGCACACGCAGGTACTCCTCTGGTCCTCGGGGCTCCTTGCCGCCATTGCTTCAGAAGCAGGCCCCAGGTCCATCTCACCGGCTGACTCCTCGCTGCTCTGATGTTATGGAAACAGATGCCAGGGCTGTTCTAGAAGTGACTTAGGAAACAGGTTTGGTGTGGCTCATGTCTGTAATCCCAGTACGAGGGATGCTGAGGCAGGAGGATTTTCAAGAGTTCCGGGCTAGCCTGGGCTATGTAGTGAGACGCTCAGTCAGTCCTTTGTTCTCATGCCAACTTGGAAAGTCCCCATCCCTACAGGGTCCCCAGAGCCTCCACTGGACCATGGGCCCCTGAAGGCAGTGCTGGACAACCTAGTACCCACCATGAGCTCAGGGGTGGGGCAGCATTTGTATGGCCTGTACTGGGTACTTAGTCAGCCCTTCAAGAGACAAACTGCTGTAGCAGAGTTCCCCAGACTTGGGGGACAACACATAGCAGAAATTCATTCAGTGTCTGGAGGCCAAAGTTCAAGGCCATAAGCCGTGAAGCCCCTGCTGGCTATAGACAGCCCTTCCCCCTACTCATTTTGATATGTATGGGTGTTTTGCACACACACACACACATTATATATATATCATATCCAATTGAGGTCTCCCCCCACACACACTCCCCACCCCAGAGACAACAGTCTTGGCTGTCCTGGAACTTGCACTGTAGAGCAGGCTGGACTTGAACTCACAGAGATCTGCTCGCCTTTGCCTCATGAGTGCTGGAATTTAAGGCATGCACCACCACCACCCAGCTGCACCGTTACTGCCCAGCCCAATTGAGCTTTCTATGAGAGCTTTGGGGACACAAGATCTTAGTCCTTCTGGAATTATGGCAGAATGGTAACTGGTGTCCCTGGGACACCAGCAGGCCTAGAATCACTGGCAATCCTCTCCCCTAGGCCCATCTGGACTTGCCACCTTCTGTGAGGGCCCTGCCTGACCTCCAGGGAACCTTCCAATATCCACACCTTCTTGAAGTCAGTCCTTCCTCAGACCAGTCTGCCAAGTTCCCTCCCTGCTGGGTCTTCAGAGCCTCCCTACTCATGGCGGGGGTGGGGGGTTGGGGTTGGGGTTGGGGGTGGGGCAGAGGGCAGAGGGGGTCTCCAGTGGGAGCAATACTGCATAACTGTGTCCCTAAGGATGGATCAGACTTTTCTGGGCCTCGGTTTCCCAGGGAGGAGTTCTCCTGAGCATGGCTTCTGAAGAAACCTTGTACAGCTGAGGCCTGGCAGGCTTCAGCAATATGAGTCAGTCTCTTGTCTTTGTTCTCTGGATTTGGGGTGCTCAGGGTTACCTGGAACTATGTAGACCACCAGGCTGGCCTCGAACTCTGAGATCTACCTACTTCCACCTCTCAGATGCTGGGGTTAAAGCCGTATACCACCATGTCCAGCTCTCTCTCATTAGCATTCCCTCTTTTTTAAAAATTCTATTTATTTGTACTTCATGTACATTGGTGTTTTGCCTGCAGGTATATCTGTGTGAGGCTGTCAGATCTCCTGGAACAGGAGTTACAGACAGTTGTGAGCTGCCATGTGGGTGCTAGGAATTGAACCCAGGTCCTCTGGAAGAACAGCCAGTACTCTTAACCACTGAGCCATCTCTCCAGCCCCATAGAGGAAGTTTATCTTTTTTGAAGATACAGATTTATTTATTTATTTATTTATTTATTTGTTTGTTTGTTTGTTTGTTTGTTTGTTTATGGTTTTCCAAGACAGGGTTTCTCTGTATATAGCTCTGGCTGTCCTAGAACTTACGGAGATCCACCTGCCTCTGCCTCCTGAGTGCTGAGATAAAGGCATGTACCACCACTGCCCGGCTTCATTCCCTCTCCTTCAAGATTTTTATTTTTAAAGCCAGGCATAGTGGCACACACCTTTAATCCCAGCAGAGGGAGGCAGAGACAGGAGGATCTCTGTGAGTTTGAGGCCAGTCTGATCTACAGAGTGAGTTCTAGGACAGCCAGGGCTACACAGAGAAACCCTGTGTCAGAAAAAAAAAATTACTTTTAATTGTGTACATGTGTGTGTGTGGTGCTCACAACTGAATGTGGGTGAAGTGACTACTGAGTCCAGAAGAGGAGCTGAAGTTACAGACAGTTGTGAACAGCCGAATGTGGGCGCTGGGAACCAAACCCAGGTCCTCTGCAAGAGTAGCAAGTACTCTTAACCACTGAGCCATCTCTCCAGCCCCACACTGAGGGGGACTGGACCCAGCTGCCCCCACATAGCACAGCATAAGCAACACCCCAACACCCCTCACTTCTAGGCCTAAGGAACCACCTCCCCAGTGTGCAGAGGCTCACAAGGCAGGAAACATTCCAGAGAAAGAAGCAGAAGCCTCCTGTCCCACCCTGCAGAGGGGACACCACCTGTCACCCCCAACAGACCCAGCTCCCCGCCTTGAGAGATGGCCTGCGGTGGTCAGCACACAGCACACAGACACCAAACAAAACAGACCAATAGGCAGGCCCATGAGTACTCTGAGAAGGAGAATGTAATCACTCCCAGGACGGAGGACCTAGGACTAAGTCATCTGAAAAGGGTCTTTCCCCTGCCTCAGCATTCCCAGCCTCTTCTTGTCACCTAAGTTCAGGCGGCACATGAACTGGCATGTCATAGCTGTCATGTGGATAACACCTCTGAGGGCCTGCAGGACCCTGGTAGTGCAGAGGTCCATGGTGCATGCTTCACTGCGCAACATATGTTCTGAAGTGTGTTATCTCTGTGATTCTGTGGCATGCACTCTGTGTGTGGTGTCTCTGGTGTATGCATGCCTGTCTTCTCCATGTGGGTGGGTGTGGTGTCTGTGTGCCATGTGTATGGTCCGATGTATCAGTGTGCTGTGTGTGTGTGTGTGTGTGATGTGCCCACCAGTGATTTGCATGCATCTCCCTGTGTGTGTGTGTGTGTGTGTGATGTGCCCACCAGTGATTTGCATGCATCTCCCTGTGTGTGTGTGTGTGTGTGTGTGTGTGTGTGTGTGATGTGCCCTCCAGTGGTTTGCATGCATCTCCGTGTGTGTGTGTGTGTGTGTGTGTGTGTGTGTGTGTGTGTGTGTTTATGTGGTATGTGTGGGAGTACCTTTGCAGCAGTGTTTCTCCATGTGTTGTTATGTGTGCCTTTCCATGTCCATGTGTATCTGTGGTGTGTCCCCATATATGTGGAGTAGCTATGTGGAATGTGTGGTCTTGTGTGGTGTGCTCCTCCATGCATGGGGTCTATATATGGTGTGCATATAGTGTGTTTACTGTGTGTTGTATACCTTGGCTGCATCTGTTGTGAATGTGTGGTGTGGTTCTCCATGTGGGGTCTCCATTTATGGTGTGTGTCTGTGGTGTTCTCCCTGCGTGTGGGGTCTCCAGGTGGTATGTGTGTGCTGTTCTTTGTGTGTGGGGTCTCTGGTGTATGTGTGCCTCCCTGTGTCCTGCTTCTGTGCCCGAGGCATCCGGTGTGTGGGGTCTCTGTAGTGTATGTGGTATGTAGTGGTGTGTGTGTGCCGTGTGCCTCATGCCTCTGCATTATGTCCTGCTTCAGCGTCCAAGTCCCTCTCCCTGCGTGGGTCTGTTCCATAAGTTCTCAGATTCTCCATGGTGGCCACGTCCCGGGTCTCAGGTTGGAGGCCAGGCTCCCCACGGTCTGGCGCGGGGAGCCCGGGATTCAGGGATCCACAGTGGGCGCTGCGCTAAGGAAAGTTTCCGATCCCGGGCGAGAGATGAAGTTTTGCGGCCTAAAGCCAGGCCAATACTGCCCCCGCGCGGCGCGACGCGGCGCTGCAGGCGACCGGGGAAACCGAGGCAGAGAGGGCACCCGCGGCCCGCAGCACTCCGGGGAAACTGGGAGCCCTCGTTCTGGATCGCAGCCTGAAAGCCCAGAAAGAGAACCAAGCCAAGCTCCAGCCCAGCGCTGGGGACGCTGCTGCATCGCGCCGCAAGCCAGGTCCAGATCTACCTTTCTTCAGCCCTTCACCATCCCCAGCCCACCTGGTCCCTAAGATGACCAGCCCAGTCCAGCCCAACCCGGCTTTAGCATCCTGTCCTCTCGGTTAGACCAAGCTCCGCGGCGACTCCGAGCTGTTTCTTCACCGGCCAGCAGGTGGCGATAAAGACCTGGCCAGAGCACAAGGACAAGGCGGAAACTCCAAAGGGAAGGGAGGCTCCCAAGTTTCCTCCAGGGGCTGGGACATGGTGCGGTAGGGCACCCAGGTGTATGGAGGTGGCTAGGTTAATGCAGCAAATAAACTCTAGGAGATGGCTGCCATCTTGTCTCGGGCCACTTCCCCATGTGGCTTTGAACACTGTATCAGGCTAAGAGGGCTAAGGTTTGCCCACACACAGGGTTATTTTTCCTGGGCTAGGGTCTGGATACCCTCACCCTCTACAAGATGGTGGGCAGAGAAGCCTCTGGCACTACAGACAAGAAGGAGTTGAGTTGTTTCTCCACTGCCCCAGGCTAAGATAATGGCTGGGGGTCTACTTCAGGTGTGACTTGATCTAGGTTCGAGGTTGTGCAGTGAATTGGGCACCGGATCGGGCTGAGCCCCTGGGATGCCCTGTCCTCTCCACCTCCAATACCTCACCCTCTTCAGCTTCATCTCAGATGTGATTCCACCCTTACCTCCCCCACCCTGGAACCCCAAGTGGTCCCAAATCAGGCACCCAGAGTGGCTTGTATTGGGAGACCTAGCGATCCATCTCAGCCACCCGGGAGGTGTGTTTATTTGTGGGGTGAGGGAGCAGGCTTCTCATTGCCTGGCCTGGTCACACCCCTGGGCTGGGCCTCCAGCAGGCATCCACCTCTGAGCCTGCTGCCGGTTTGTGGACGGCAGGAGCCGGTAGCCCTTAGGGTGGCCTCTCCTCAGGACGGATTGCAGCACCAAGCTGGGCAGAAAGGACTCCTAGAGTGAGAAGGATGCCCAGCTGGGCACTGCCAAGGGGACCTCAGGGAGGAGACGGGGAGGACACAGGTCCTCCAAGGCCCAGGAGGGAGGAGACAGCCCCCCCTGCACACGCCCCCCCCCGTGGGGGGGGTCGGGTGGGAGGAGACAGCCCCCCCCCCGCGCCCGACCCTCCTCCCCGTGGGGGGGGTCGGGTGGGAGGAGACAGGTCCCCGAGGGCTCAGGTGGTTCTGCAGCTGGCCTAGCTGAAGCACAGCCCACCCACTCACTAGCAGCAGAGCAGCTAATGGCCTGGCTTAAGCACCTCCTCCCCATGGCCTTGCAGGGCTCCTCACTGAGGGAGGCTGGGCCACACAAGGCCAAGCAGTCAGCTGCCTGGGCTGCCCACCAGCTTCTGGTTCCGGGGACAGGGCAATTTGCCCACCTGCTCCATAGTGTTAGGGGTGTCCAGGAAGGTCCTGAGGCCTCCCCGTGGCCTTGGCAAGGTGGTGGCCCTGGAGATGAAGGGTAGGCGGCTGCTCATGGTGGCATCCTCAGAAAGGTAGAGCTGTGGTTCCTGAGCTGACCTGGTGGGGAGACAGGAGTCTATGGTTTTGTGACCCCGAGTCCCAGACCCATCTACAGCTTGCTTCCTCTACCCAGAGCCTCACACTCGGGGGCAGTTCCAGCACGAGGAGCCGGCCACAGTGTCTTGGGCCCTGGGACACAGGGCTCTGGGCAGACTCTCCAGCCATCTCCCGACACTTCCAAGCACCCGCTCTGACACCGACACAGCCGGCAAAGTCGTCTGCTCACATGGAAAGATATTCTGCCGGACTAGGAGAGAGAGAGAGAGGCGCAGAGTGAGTTCCCTGTCCCCTCCCCGGGGGAGGGGCCACTGACGCCCCCACCCTCTCTCCTCCCTCTGGCTGGCAAGGCTAGACAGAGCCCTGTCTCCATGGCAACCACAGGCTCCCTAGTGCCTTCTGGCTGCCTCCAGAGAAGTCCTGGGTTTTAAAACTACCTCCCGTGACTGTTGCTGCTGTTACCAAACTGTGCCCTGCCCTGTCCCTACCGCCTGCTCCAGCCTCCAATGGACCCCTTTTTCTAAAGTGGGATGGCCAGGCACCCCACCACAGAAATTCCACAGAGGATGCCAAGAATCTGCCAGAGATGGAGGGAGGGGTGTCTCAGGGTGCTTTTCCTAGAACCTGAGAGTCCCAGGGTTTGCCTCAGACAGGAAAGTCTGAGAAAGCACATGCTGAGTCCTGGTGCCACAGGGTATGGCCACAGTGCTTGGCCTGTCCTTGGATTTCTGGAACATTCTGGCCTCTATTCTAGGCTTACATGGCTCTTTCACAAACACCTTTTGCCTCAGTTTTTTCACCAATCAAATAACCAGAAGCTGAGGTGAGACGTGGCAGCAGCACATGCCTGTAATCTTAGCAGCTGGGAGGTGGAGGCAGGAGGATCAATATTGCAAGGTCATCCTTGGCTATGTAGTGGGACAGCCTGGGATACATGAGACTCTGTCTCCAAAAAGAACAATAAATCAATATAGCTAGTCCTAGGCACAAAAACTCTTAAATCCATTGGCTGAAATTATGTTTTTTTGACACACACACACACACACACACACACACACACGCACACACACACACGCACATACACGCACATACACGCACACACGCACATACACGCACACACACACGCACATACACACACACACACACACACACACACACACACACGCACACACGCACACATGCACAAAATATGACTAGCCAGAAGCTGGGCTTCTCTAACTCTTAAGTGGTAAGGTGAGGTACCGGGGGCCACTGAGGCTCAAGTACTAGGAAAGTAGGGTGTGTGGGGACTGCTTGTCTTCCTCATTATCCTGCCTGCCTCCTTACACCCAGTCAGAAATGTCAAAGGAAACAGTGTTCGCCATTGCATTCATCCCAAGTGTGGAGATGCCACTTCTGCTGGGGTTCTGAATTTCTCTGTTGGACCCTTGCAGTAGTTCTCAAGAGAACAGACTCCCTCTTCTCAGAGTCTAGACATCTGGTCAGCCTGACCCTGGGGTCTGCTTTCAAGAATTTGTCAGGAAGCTGCTTCAGGAAGCTGCTGAGGGAGTGAGAAGCTGTGCACTCTGGGGTGGCAGCAAGGAGGGCCTGGCTGCCTTTGTTTCCTGGGTCATACTCCTTGACACCACCTGCCTGATACCACTCACCTCTGCTGGCTCTCCGGGCCCCTACTGGGTCCTTGACAACCACCTTGACATCTTCTGAAAAGGTCTCTATCGGTACTTCCTCTTTGGAGTCTTCTGAACCCAGGGCCTTGCGCTAGCTAGGCAAGCGCTCTACCACTGAGCTAAATCCCCAAGCCCTCCTCTTTGGAGTCAATGGCCTACCTGGCTCCTTGAGGGTCCAGAGCCACAGCCTCTGACCTCCGCACTCCTGGCAGGAGTTTTCTGGAATTCGGGGCTCCAGAAGTAGCTTTCTGCTCACCTGCTCGGTTGCGCTCCCAATAGCGGAGTGCCGTGTCCTGCAGGGTCTCGTCGGCAAAGCGCACCCGGAAAGGACAGTAGCGTCTGCGAGGCCTGGAGCCTTCTCCAGAGGGGCTGTGAATGAGTAGAGTCTTCACTTTGGGGACCTGTGTGCTGTGGGAGATGAGAGGGTATGGGAGCTGGGGCTCCTGGAAGATCTTGGACGGGGCTGGAGAGATGCCCGGTGATTAGGAGTGTACTACTGCTCTTGCAGAAGACAGAGATTTGGTTCTAGCACCCACAACTGTCAGCTCACAACTGCCAGTGACTTCATCTCTAGGCGTATTTGAGGCCCTCTTCAGGCCTCTGCAGGCACCAGGGTGCATGTGCACACCACATCCCCCAAATCTTTGAAAGATCTGCTCTTGCTTGGTGGCAGAGGATATGCTCTAGGCACATCAGCTGGCCTTTTCCAAGGGCTTGTTCTGGCTTATAGTGTGACATGCTCTATCCCACCAAACCTGCACAGTGCCCGTGAAGCCCTGTTACTGCTCCCAGTTATAGGTGAGGAGACTGAGGCACAGAGTTCTCTGGCCCACAGCTGTCACTCAAACATCGTGCCAGAGGGCAGGATTTTGCACTCAGGAAGCAAGAGGTCCTAACAGACTGCAACCTGCCTCCTCATCTGTGAAATGGAGGTCAAGCCAGGCGCAGTGCATGTGGGACGCTTGGGAGGTAGAGGCAGGAGGATCAGCTGTTCAAGGTCATCCTCGGTTCCACAGTGAGTGCTATGTGAGATCATGCAGGGACAAATAAGTAGATAAAAATAAGGAAATCGTGGTGCCCCACCCCTTTCTCAGGACTGGCGTGAAGAGGTAGGGTGGACTGCAGGAGCTTCCTGCCGAGAGGATGCCGGGCAGAGGAAACATCTCTAGCTTCAAGCTGTCCGGGCAGTTGTCACTCTCCATTGTACCACCGAGGCCGTGTGAGCTGGGGCACACTGTCCTCAAGGCTCCACTTCTCAGTTTTCTCCTCCCGGTCATATGCTGTGTTATAGGCGGGATCATTCCGCCGTCACCGGAGCTGGGAGAGCGGAACACCCCGTGTGGGGAAGCACCTGGAACAGGGCCTGTCATGGGGTTGTGCTCCCTAAAGGGCATGGTATATTTATATGTTGTAGACAAAAAGGTTAGGCGTGTTTTCATTTCTCCCTCAGGGGCTGGGCTGCAAGCTTGGTTACTTGGTCACTCGGAAATGACCCATTGCATTTTCACCTTGGGCACACACATAATTTACACATCTGTACCCACTTATCCTGTGTCATCTTTTTGTGAAGGCAGAGGGTGTGTTTCTCATCTGTCCATCAAAGAGCCACGCAGCTGGGATGACTAGGGCAGAACCTGGCTGTAGGTGTTTGGGCTCACTTAGGCCACAGTTGGCTGCACACAAACCTCATCTCTGTCCTGGCCACAGGGCCAAACTTAGGCATCTCCTAGCTCTGCCTGCCAGTGTGAGATCATAGCTTCCCTGCCTAGGGAAGATCACTGGAGTGATCTAATGTACCAAGGGAATGTTACATACAAATAAGTGTCCAATTCTAGTCTATGTTTTTTTTTGTAATGATTTACTTATTTTTGTTTTGTGTGCATTAGTGTTTTTCCTGCATGTATGTCTGAGTGTTGGATCTTACAGACAGTTGTGAGCTGCCATGTGGGTGCTGGGAATTGAAGCCAGGTCCTCTGGAAGAGCAGCCAGTGCTCTTAATGGCTGAGGCATCTCTCCACCCTCCTAGTCTCTACTTTGATCCTGGAGAACGTGTCAGAAAGGGTTCTGAGGCTCACAGAGAAATGCGTAGTGATCCATTAGTATTGTCTGCCATGGGTACAGATGGAACAGTAACAATATGCTTGCTGTGTATGCGTGCTCTCGGTCCAGTTGTCCCTCCTTCCCTAAATTAACTTATTGAGACAGAGTCTCACTGCATAGTCCTGGCTGTCCTGGAAGTCACTATGTAGACCAGGTTGGCCTCCAGCTCACAGAGTTGCCTGCCTCTACCTCCTGAGTGCTGAAACTAAAAATGTGCCACCACTAGGGCTAAAGAGATGGATGGCTCAGCAGTTAAGAGCACTGGCTGCTCTTCCCAAGGTTCTGAGTTCAATTCCCAGCACTGTGGCTCACAACCATCTGTAATGAGATCTGATGCCCTCTTCTGGCATGCAGGCATACATGCAGACAGAGCACTCATACCTAAAAAAACACATAAAGAATTTTTTTTTTAAAGACCACCCGGCCACACCCAGGTCTCTAGTCCTTAAACTCCCAGACAGTGCTCTTCACCCTTGTTCTAGCCTGTTTAAAAGCTGTTGTCTCTTTCCCATCTCCATTAAGAGCTCTCTAGCATCCAGGTTGAGGGAAGCATCATTAGTGCCCCAGGATCTTCCTTCCTTCCATTTCTCTGTCTTTCTGCTAGTATTTAATACACAGTAAAACGTCACAAACGGGTAACGATAGGATACGAGAGAAGGATGCAGCCGTGGGATTTATGACAGCCTCTGAGCTGAAGGGCTGAATCTCAGGGTGGGGAGCTGGCTGCTGATACAGATGTGTAAGCTTGCGGGTAGCTTTATTACTCGGGAGAGGCGATCGGCGCCTGGGTTTATAAGTGAATGAAAGGATAGTTATTGCGCAGCTATAACTAGGGAGAATTTGTGAACAGATAGAAATCTGACTGTCTGGGGGCAGTTACAGGTTCATGGCCAATAGATGCCCCTGATGGATAGATGTATGAGATATTCACAATAACTTCTCGTTCTTGGCTAAGGTGCATGCAAGGATGGATAGGTGAATGGATCAATGGATACATGGTAAATCCATTAGTGAATGACTAGAAACGAGGGAGCAAAGGAATGCCTTACTGCTCCCGCTCCCGTGACTCATGGGTTGGGGAGATGAGATGCCTCAATGGGCAAAGGTGATTGACAGGTAAGCCTAGCGACCCCTGTCCGCCCCCCACCCCCCACACATGAAGGTGGAAGGAGAGAGTCAGCTCCACAAAGCTATAGCATATGTGTGTATTCACAACTACTACTCACGGGTTGGCCTTTCTGGCTGTGATGAATTCACTTCTTGGGGGCCCCAGGGTAGCCTTCTCTTTAAAACTGTCCTCTGAGTGCAATGATTGGTCCCTTGAAGACAAAGAGGTCACAGCTGATGGGAGCAGAGCCCCACTTGGGTAGCAACCCCTCCTTGACCAAGAAGGTATGTCCACTTACCACAGGTCTGGGAGGAATGAGCAGCTGGGACACAAATCTTGGTAGTGCTCTGATGCACCCTTGGGGTACTGTGGCGCTGAGGGTGCTGGGAGGGCAGAAGAGGAGAGGGAAGAAAAGGAGAAGGGGGAAGAGGAGGAAAGCCCAGTGAGCTGGAGATGGTCCTCACTGGGGGCCCTAGTCTCCACCCCACCCCACCCCACCCGCGTTCCCGCGGCCTCACGGTGCGCCTCCGGCTCCGCGCTCTTGGCGCGCAGCTGGTGCAGGAAGTCGCGGAACTTGGTGGGCAGAAACTTTCCCAGCAGCCCGCCGAAGGTGTCAGGGTTGTCGCGGGTCGCGGGCTGCCGTGTCTCCCGAGCCCCCGCCCCGCGGGCCCCGGCTCCCCGGGCCCCCGCCCCCCGGGCCCCGGCTCCCCGGGCCCCCGCCCCCCGGGCCCCGGCTCCCCGGGCCCCCGCCCCCCGGGCCCCCGCCCCCTGGGCCGTGCCAGACCGCAGCAGCGGCGGCAGCAGCAGCGCGCGCAGAGTCCCGCGGCCCCGCGGCCCGTACGGGATCCCGGGGGACAGGTAGGGCAGGCGCTCGCAGTCCTGCCACCACATGCCGGCTGATTCTCGCCCGGTACGGAGGTCGGGCATGAACAGCCGGGGCAGCAGCGGAGTACGGCGGCGAGGGGAGGCCCCGTTGGGACACCCCCTGGGCTCGTAGGCCGGGGTCTCCGCGGCGGGCTGGCGCCGTGACATCGTAAGTCCGAGCTCAGCTCAGGATATCTTCGCGCCTGGGGGACGCGCGGGGGCGAGCGGGACCGCGGGGAGGTCGCGCGCCAGCCCGCAGGCCATAGCGCCGGGTAGGGGCAGCGGAGCTGGCTCCTCGGGCAGGACCATCCCCTGCTGTGTCCGCTCCCTGCTGTGCCCGCGCGCAAAGACGGTGACGGCGGGAACGCCAGCCCTTTGGGGGCGGCTGTGACGTTGACGTGAGCTAGTACACGCCGGGCGCCTAGCACAGTACGGGGCGCGGGCACCTGCCGGCCCAAGACCGCCTTTCTTATCATTTAGCACAGTTGGGAGAGGGTTTGCCTAGAATGTGCGAGAAATTGAGCCGTGGCGGCCAATGCCTGTGATCCCAGAATTTGGGAGGCAGAGGCTGGAGAGATGGATCAGTGAGAGGATGAGGGTTCGATTCCCAAAACCTACAGGACAGTTTTCAACCTCCGGTTCCAGGGGGATTAGCACCCTCTTCTAGTCTCCGAGGGCACCAGGCACCACGTGGTGCACAGCCATGTAGGCAAAACACTTATACACATAAAATTTATTTTTTCTCCTAAATTTAAGGCTATTGCCAGGCGGTGATGGTGCACACCTTTAATCCCAGCACTTGGGAGGCAGAGGCAGCTGTGTCTCTGTGAGTTCCAAGACAACTAGGGCTACACAGAGAAACCCTGTCTTGAAAAACAATAAAATTCAAGATTATTGCTGGGTGTGGTGGCGCATACCTTTATCTCCAGCACTTGGGAGGCAGAGGCAGGAGGATCTCTGAGTTTGTGGCCAGTCTGGTCTACATACAAATTCCAGACCAGCTGGGGCTACATAGTAAGAACCTGTCTCAAAATTAACAAAAAATACACTCAGAGTTGTTCTTGGCTGCATACCGAGTTCAAGGTCAACCTGGGTTGAGTGAGACCCTGTCTCAAAAATATATCATGATTTGGAATTCTGTCTCTGCTCTGCTCCTTATTAGCCGTGAGGTCTGGACAACCAGAAAATTTCTCCCAGTCAGTTCTCAGGACTACAGAATAGGGCACAGCCTGCACCTGCCTCTCTGTTCATTTATTTTGAGGAAGGGTCTCCCTACCTGGCACAAGCTGGCCCAGATGCCATTATCCTCCTGCCTCTGTTTTCCAGGCTCTGGGGTCACAAACCTGGGCTACCACCTGCAGCTCACACATGCCTGAAAGCCATGGAGGAAAGAGGCCTAGGAGGGCTGGAGCTCCAAAGGTTGTAGAATTCCATGCGGGTCTGGCAGCCTGCTCTCAGAATTGGAACAAGCTGCAAATACATGTGACTTTCTCCCACCTCCTAGCCTAGCCTCTAACGGTGCGTCTGGGGAGGAGCCAAGACCATTTTTACTGCCCCTCCCCAGTGTTGGGGATGAGACAGGGCCTGGCAGGGCCTGCTGTAGCGTAGACCAGTGTTCCACCATCAAGCCACATCCACAGTCAAGACACATTTTGAGCAAACTCCCAATTAGGGAGGAAAGCCCAGTTATCCTTCAGCTGACACTGGACGGGGGTGGGGGGGGTGGGGGCTGGGGGGGGTTGGGGCAGTCTCCAGGCCTGCTTTTTCCCCAAACGTATCCTATGCTCAGACTGTTATCAGTTCTAAACACACTCACCGTGTGTGGTTCGCTGGGTGAGGCCCTGGAAGGTCCTGGGAGTTTAGAGCCCCCCAACAGGTGGGCTATTTGCTGGGAGAACCCATCTTCCTACCTGCTGCCTCTGGCAGCCCCTCCCAGGTACCTGCAAGTCTTCTTGGAGTCATTGTGATCCGCTCTCACCCATAGACACTGGGGAGCAATAGGCACTGTGGCCTGGGGACTAGGGTGGGGCTGGTATGCCCTGGATGTCAGGGCCACACCCACAGAGGTCTTGGCACTTCTGGCCAGGGCAGCCATGCTTAATCCAGAGACTAGGCCAGGTTCAGCCACTCTTGCAGACCCAGAGTGGCTATACTTGGCTGAGCTGGAAGGGGAGGGCTTCCTGTCAGTCCTACTCTCAGAGGACAGTAAGAACACAATGGGTCTGGAAATCCAAGAACCAAGGTCAAGTTCATGTTCTGCTTCTCTTAGCTGTGTGATGCCAACAGGTTTCTTCTTCCTGGGAGTTCCATGAGCCAATAGGACAGAGAGACGGACAAGCCAGTGAGTCATGGTTGGGAGAGAGCTGGAGGAAGCCCATGGGAATGTAGAACTCAGGTTGGGGGATGAGGATTCAGTTGAGACAAGTATTCCCAGGTATAATTTTATAATTTAAAAAAATGAGTACCGCTCACATGTGTAGAAGAGGCATCGTGAAACATGTATTCCATTTTCTGTAACATGCTTCAGAGGGATGGAGGCACACATTTCCTCAGGAAATAAAGTGGGGGAGATAAACTTTCTTATTTATTTATTTATTTATTTATTTATTTATTTATTTATTTATTTATCTATCTCTATCTATCTATCTATCATCAGCTTGATACATACAGTACAAATTCTTATCCTAATAGTGAAATGTGTCACTGAAGCTTGCCCAGTGAGTAAAACCAAAACTTACTATAAGCCACAGTCATCCTAGGGTCCCCCCTGCTGTATAGCGTCCCTGGTTCTGTGGGTTGCAGTCTGATTGTTCTTTGCTTTATATCTAGAATCCACTTATGAGTGAGTACATACCATGTTTGTGCTTCTGGGTTTGGGTTACCTCACTCAGGATGATATTTTCTAGTTCCATCCATTTGCCTGCAAATTTCATGCTGTCATTGTTTTTCTCTGCTGAGTAGTCCTCCATTGTGTATATGTACCACATTTTCTTAATCCATTCTTCAGTTGACTGGGCATCTAGGTTTAAACTCCTTTCTTTTTTGTTATTTTTTTTTCTAAGACAGGGTCTCCTTAGCTCTCGATGACCTTGAACTTCTGATCCTTCTACCAGGTGAAAGGTGCCTCCACCTCCTGGGAGCTCGGGTTTGCATGCACAGCTGCACCTGGGTTCACGTGATGCTGGGGGATCAAACCCAGGGCTTCGTGCATGCCAGGCAATCGCTCTACCGACCGAGCTACATCACTATTGTGTAATTATTGGAAATTATGAGTATAGGTGTGTATCTGTGTGTGGACACGTGCACATGGGTGCAAGTGCACTTGGAGGCCACAAGTGGGCAGTGGATCCTCTGGAGTTGGAGTTACAGGGGGTTGTGAGACTCCCAATGCTTGTGCTGGAGACCGAAGTCAGATTTTCTGCAAGAGTAGTGTGTGCTCTTAACTTGCTTTTTTTGAGCAGCTCCAAACCTGCTTCTTCTTCTTAATAATAATAATAATATTAATAATAATTTTGAGACAGGCTCTCACTACATAGCTCTGGTTGTCCTGAAACTCACTATATAGAACAGGCTGGCCTCGAACTCATAAGAGATCTGCCTGCCTCTGTCCCATGAGTGCTGGGATTAAAGGCATGCACCACCACACCTGTGGCCCAATCTGAATTTTTTAAAAGAAATTTTACTTTTTACTTATTTATTTTTTATTTTCTTTGTGTGTGTGTCTTTTGAGTCCAGAAGGGGTCAGATTGCCTGGGAACTGAATTCTACATATCTGGAAAAGAAACAAACATTCCTCCCTCTCCCCAAAACAAGGCTTCTCTGTGTAGCTCTGGCTGTTGTGGAACTCACTCTGTAGACCAGGCTGGCTTTGAACTCAGAGATCTGCCTGCCTCTGTCTTCTGAGTGCTGGGATTAAAGGCATGTGCCACCACCACACCTGCAGCAAGCACTCTTAACTGCTGAGCCCCAAACCATCTCTCCATCCCCTTGGCTTTTGTTTTTGTTTCTGAGATGAGATCTCAGGCTATGGTGATATATTGTGTACCCTAATAAAATTTGTCTGAAGATCAGAGAACAGAACAAGCCACTAGATTAAACATAGATGCCAGGCAGTGGTGGCATACACCTTTAATCTTAGCACTCGGGAGGCAGAGATCCGTCTGGATCTCTGAGTTCAAATCCACCCTGGATTACAAGAGATTGATTCTGTCTAGGAGAGAAATAGAGCCAGGCAGTGGTGGCACACACCTTTAATTCCAGCACTTGAGATCTCATGCCTTTTCTACCAGTATTTGGGAAGCACACATGCCTTTAATCCCAGCACTAGGAAGGAAGTAATATGGCTGGGCGGGAGAAAGGTATATAGGGCACGAGGAGACAGGAACTAAAGCTTTCGGCAACAGAGGATTCGTGGAGTTGGCGAGGTGAGACGTGGCAGTAGCTTGTTCCTTTGTCTCTCTGATCTTGCAGTATTTACCCCAATAGCTGGATCTGGGTGTTTTATTAAAAGACCATTTAGCAATTTGAGCAACAGTGGGCTGGTGTTCAATTTATTACATGTGAGAGGATGACCTTTAACCTCTGGCCTTCCTGCCTCCCTCCCCCCAAATGCTAGGACTGTAAGCGCTCTCCAGTGCATGGTGGTGAATAGCTCTTGAAATTATTGAAACCAGGTATGACCTAGAATAGTCCAGAGCAGATATCAAATAACATGTACACAAATTTAGGATGGGGGTTCAACTGTGGGTGTGGTTTTTCAGCCTCCCAAGTCTCCATAGCTTTTAACATACACATTGGGTGTGGTAGTGCATTCTTTTAATCCCAGCATTCCAAAGACAGGAGGATCACTATGAATTTCGGGCCTAGCAAGTCGCTGACTTTTGAGAACATAAAGGCAGACACAACATTAAGCACCTCCTGTATGCAGAGCCTAGGGGAGGCATTATAGATATGTCTGACATCAGGATGTTGGCCGCCAGAGGTGAGCTTAAGGTGACAATATTGTCATCGCTTTCACTGCCTAGGGGCCCACTGCAAACGCTGGGCTGAAGCCTGAGCCCGCAAATGCTACATTGAACCCTCAGAGCATAGTGGCTGAATCCTTACATCCACCAGTCAGAAAAGGCGACTAGAGCCGGGCGGTGGTGGCGAACAACTTTAATCCCAGCA